CTTTTCGAATTTCCAGTTTCGTCATGAGTTAATGCTACTGTATCATGAGTGGACACATCTTCAGAGATGGATGCAATGATTGGTGTTTCATTTTTTGCAGAACTGTTCAATGTTGCAGTGTAGAATGATTCACATTTGATGGTCACTTCGCTGCAAGAATTCATCCATTTGTCTACGACATGGGATTCGACTTCGTTCGTAAATGTTTCCATCTAGAAATGGCACATACCACCTATTCATCTTCTTCTATTTCCTATTTTCGATCTCACCGACAGAGAAATTACATTCTATTGCGCAAAAAAGTTTTCACTTTAATATAAAGCAACATGGTTTGTCTCATTGATAAGATTTCTGTTATTGATTGTTGGATTCACCAAAACAATGACTAGTCATTTCAGCTTCTTATCTTTTCTCTCTCTTTTCTCCTTGTGCTTTGATAGCATATACAGCAGAATACTTCATGCAAATTAACAGACTGCAATTTCAAAAGATAACTAACTAAAAGATAATTACTCTGCGTCCGCTTTTTGAATGCGTCGACCAATAGAACGATTATTCTGTTATTTATGCTAAGAGAGTCTAAAAATAATGATTTTTTTGCAGATAAGACCTTACAGGATAAGTCAATCAAATATTTGGTTTTCCAAGTATTTGTGCTAGCAGCTAAGTCTACAGAAGCGCAATCGTCCTGTTTCAATGAATTAGTGTTGAAAATAAATGAACAAAATTTTCAGTTCAAAGTGAAAGCTCAATGGTATAATCAGTTTTTCAAATCACATATTCATCCACATCCAGATTAAACTCAACTTTGGTAGATAGAAAAAATGTCGAAAACAAGAATGAGAGTGATCTGCGGGTGTAAGATTGAGAGTGAGGTTTGAGAAGATTTGTACTTTCACAAACTGAGTGTGGGTGTGGGTGTTAATATCTCTTCACGAGTACCCACCCACACCAACCCACACCCACACCCGCACCAACCCACACCCACACCCACACCCATCCCTACAATCACGAATCGGCATTCAATATTACAATCGGTGGCATATAGTGTAACGCTTAGGTTCAGTCATACAGTGTTTTGCTTCAACGTATCCATTTCTTTTTTTCATCATGCAAGCACTTCGAGTGTTACATACACTAACATAATTTTAAAAAAGATGTATTGTTCAGTGAACAAACAAAATCTGCTGTAATTTTACATAACTAACATGTTATCTGTATTTGTCATACGTGCTGTTTTTTCAGACAGTATTAATTTAGCCTTGAAATAATACTAAATAATTACAGGTAGATGACTGATAAAACGACAAAAATTACGGCCAATAATCATAGAATTTGAAAAAGACTCTTTCTGACATATCATTCTCTTAAGTGTATATCAAAACAATTTATTTGACAACTCTTCATTTTAATCGTAATGAATATTAACAGCTTCAAGGTTATCATTGTTAGTTCGACATTGATCACATAATTGATAAAATATTACATTTTACTATCTAACAATCTGTATTTATTTTTTCTTTTCTATTTTCGAGTACGAAGGTGTATATGCAATTTGATTATAGTTATCAATTTTTTTGGTTAATGATCGTGATGTTTGAATAATTGATATATAATGGCTTGGCCATGAATTGACACCGAATAAATAGAGTGTTTTTTTGCCTCTTTCTTTTACATTGTAAACGACATAACAAGTCTGTTTGATAAATAACGATGTGTTTCTACTCTTGTCTATAGTACAACTATAGTAAAAGCCTTGTATTGACACATCATTGATAGATATACGAATAGCTTAGAGACAAACATAATTAGCCAATTCTACTATATGAGCGTAGTCCTTATAATAAGTGATAAACGTCAGCATCCTGCTTTCTAACAAAAATAACCTCGCTTTCTTCCTTTTTTTTCTCTCTTTCTCTTATATTTTGTAAGATACCTAGGCGACACGATTCACCTATAAAACCACCAACATTCGTTTCAAGTCAATCATCTGAGAACGACCATCGTTGCAATCAATCCAATAAAAGTGAGTTGATTCTGTAAAACTTAAATCAAGGGTCGTAGTTTGCTTTTTTACTAATATAATATCAATGCTGCTTTCCGGAAATTATCAATAACTCAAATTCTCAGTGACATACAAAGCTGGATTTTAGATTTTGAAGTAGACAAAACTTTTCTCTATATCCAGCTTTGCTTTGCTTTTTTTTTGTTTCGCGAGTCATTATAATTTTTTTTCCTAACTTTGCCCTTGACACTTATGATTGTGGTAAATTTTAGAAAAAAAACTAAATTTCTTCATGAAAACGATCTTCAGATGAAAATAAAATAGAGATTGTTCGATTCCTTTATTCAAGTTTGTCTATCTCGATTTTTTTTATCGACAAGAATGAACGAAAATTCTTTAAAAAGATGAATAACTGGAATTGAAATGTATAATTTCACTATCATTCTTATATCAAAATAAAAATTCTAGCTAAGAGTAACATGATAGCATGAAAGAAACAAAAATATTTTTGATACTTTTCTTTTCAACAAATCGACCAAGTTATTGATTGAGGTGTTTTTTTACTTTTTTCATAGTAAATGAACTAAATTTTAACAAGTTTTAGTTTGAATAAGTGGTTCAATCAATTAATAACAGTTGACTAGCGCCATGAATTAGTAAGCAACCTCTTAGTCTATTTACAAGGCATCCGAAATATAAATTTCGATTGAATTTTTCTTGCTTATTTCTATATAATTTACGGCAAAAAAACTGTAGTCATCACATTTTTTTTTCGTTTTCATGCTTCACTCATGTTGCAAAGCGTTTATCATCTGACATGGTCGTTAAAACGTCTCGATATATCAGTATCTACTATATGAGGAGTCATAACGAATATCTAAAAACATGTTTTTTCAACAATAAACAGCTATAAATACAAACTAGTATAGTTTTTTTTCTTTTTTTTATAGAATTACGGTTGTCTTCCTCACTTTTATCTCTTGAATTCGAGCTTTGATTCCTCTCTATTATCCAATGATTTATTTTAAAAAAAGCTATTACCTGAATTTTTATTTATATTAAATAAGCTCTTTTGATCAAGGTAACATCCACATATCAATCAATCAGTATCATGCAGTGACGAATGATCATTTAGTAATAGTTTTAACTTATATGACAGAAAAGAGAAACAGTCAGAGAGGAAAGAAATAAAAGAAAAATGTACAGGTAGACCAAATATGTAATAAACTTGTGTATACTAGTTAAGGTTTGGCGATTATGCCATTCAAACGAAGTACTATAGATAAAGCGGCGTTATTACGAAATTTTAGACAAGTTACAAAAATACGTAATTTTTTCAAAACTTGCATAGCGTTCACAGATCTATATAGATTTAAAGACAATAACATCTTTTAAGTAATTCGAATTACTTCTGTTTTTGGTACTGATTTACTGCGTTCAATATATGCTCAGTATAGCTCGGTTATTAAATAGAATTTAACTCTTAGATAATTGGTTAGTGTTTTTTTTTATTGTCTTCATAATATTCGACTTGGTTTTTTTCTAAAATTCATTCAATAAATAATACATTTTATCACTTACAGCTTCTTACGTGTTCTTTAAGCATGATTCACAAGTAATAAAGACCATAATTATAGCTATTCGTTTTTATTGTTTTCTTTTTTTTTCTTTTAACATACATTCTTAGGTTCAATTTCTTAACTCATGAAAACTGCCAGTGTAACCATATGCAGTTAAGCATACAGATATAAGGGTACAAGGATAAGCACATATGAATTACGGAATTGAGTTAAGGCAATAGCTATAACGGCGCAAGAGTCAAAGCCTATATGCAAGGGCACGAAATATAAGACTTTCAGAGCAGCAGCATACGTGTAAGGATATTGAAATAAGTGCGCCTTCAAATAGTCTTACGTAGCACTCAACGAGTCACCATATCTTAAACTGTCTATTTTATCTGTAGAATGTGCTTAATACCACAATCAAACGTGGAGAAACAGGTTTAAAATATTAAACAAAAAAAAAAACGTAAAAACTCATTAACATATCTAAGGAAAACGGTACCATACATAATTAAATGTTTGCACTAGCTTAGAAAAATATTTTATTCATAATTGATCAACAAAAATTTAAACCACATTGAAGCAGTATTAATAGAATAGTTATAAAAAAATGAATTTGTTAAACGAAAGCCTTCAATCAATTTTTGTCAATACTTAATCAAATTAAGGAGAAATCTTTATTTTTTGCACGTAAGAGAAATATTTAATTGTGAATAGATTTTAATATTTATCTACATATTAAAGCATGAAAAATCATACGTTTGAACATCACAAAGTTTACATTTAGAATATTCAGAATATCATATTTGCAAAAAAAGTTCCCAAACTAACTGAACTTGAAATTTGGCAATATCTACAGAAAAAGTAAATTCAAGGTCAAAATGATACTTTGTCATTCATTGCAGTTTTTGAAACATTTTTTGCAACCAAAGAGTGATGCAATCGAAATAAAAAGTTTCTATTTATGACCGATTTTTCGAGCTTTCTCAAACTATCGACAAATAAACGAGGGAAATTTACTTGAATTTTTCATTTTTGCCGCCTTACAAGTGAACTAAGAATGCGTTTCCTAATACTAAACGCTAGTCAACTGTCATGAATCGATCGCATCATCTATTCTAATTAAAACTTGTAAAAATTTAGTTAATATAATATGAAAAAAATAAAGCCAACTCAATACATAATTTGATTGATTTGTTGAAAAGAAAAGTATCAAAAATATTTTTCTTTTGTTTCTCTCATGCTTTCATGTTATTTTTAACTAGAATTGTTATTTTTAATATACATCAATCGATAGAGAAAAGTTTGCTCTGTTTCGAAAACTAAAATCCAGTTCTGTACATTACTTATATTCGGCAGAATAAGGTTCTCTGACTCTCAATCTCTCTACATTAATTCTAGGCATCATAATAGCTATTTAACGACAAAGAAACATGGGAAACAGACGAAGCAAACGTGCCCCTCCTGTGCCTCCTCCTGATATTCCTCCTCCGGCTTTTATTGAGCCATTTCCAACAGGTAATCATGGATAACTTGTATTGTTTTCGACATATTTCACATATCAATATAGATATGTTACACTCTTTTGATTTCTTATTACTTAGATAATTTTACTTCTACAACTATTCGTCGACGACGCCGATATCGACAAAAGCCACTTCCTCCTAAAATCCGTGCCATCTTTATACCTCAAGCTTCCCCTGTTGGCATGTGGTAAGATCATTTATGTGATGTCGTGAAATAAAACTTTAAACGAGTTCTTTGTCTCTTACTTAATAGCGCTTTACCAATGGCTGTTGCAACACCAGTAGCATGCCCCTGCGCTAATTTCGGTAATAAGATCACCATCGATTCTTGAATATTTTTTTAATCGACAAAAACTTTTTCGCTTGCATTGTAGGTATTGCAGGATACGGAACATACGGCTACGGAGGATACGGGGGATGTTGCTGTTATTTCTAAGCTGTGCTAATGTTTTATCATTGTATTTACTCTTTATAAACATAAAACAAACTAACAAATTACAAACGATACGCACAATTTAACAAATAAGATTTTAATACATTACCAACGAATTTTCTTTTTATGAAACTGTTCTTATGATTCTTTTGTCTTTTTTGTATGTATTTCTTGCACTAGAACAATCACTGACTTTTTCAAATGGAGAGCAAATAGTACTCAGTGGAAAATGTTTCGAAAACCAACGGTAAACGATGGGCTCTAGAAAATGAACATTTTTTCAACATTGGAACGGTAGAAAATGCTTTCCACTTTTTGACAACATTTCTTTCTTAAAAATTATTTTGAGACTTTGCTGAAAGACTCACTAAATTAAATGACTTGAATTGATTGTGTGCATCCCTGAGAGAAATGAAACAATTGTAGTATAAGTTTCATCGATCTATTCTTGAGAAACAAATTTACTTCGGCAAACTTGATGAAAAATAAAAAGCTTTTTGAATTTATTCTTAGTAAAACTTCGTATCGTAATATTCATTGTACGCGATGAAAAAAAAAAGCATAAATAAGAATGGAAGAAATGTGTTTTGAGCACCAAAAAAAGAGTGAAATGAGCACCAAATTGATTATATGTGAAAAGAGCACTAAAAAAGGGTGAAATGAGCACCAACTGAACAGAACAGTACAAAAGGTTTCAATTAAGATTTAAACGAATTACGACTGCAGTTCATAGGTACTTAGCTATTAAATTGTGATAAGCTCTACTCATATTCATTAATCCAATGACAATTCATAAATAATCTAATTAATTGGAGTAATGATTTGTATATAAAAAAAGTGTAGAAAAAAATAAAAATTCCAGTAGCAAAAACATGTCAAGCAAACAATATCAAATTTTAAATATCGTCAATACACTCAACGAAGCTGATATTATTTTAAAGCAGCATAATGTATCAACTTCAACAGTGGACATCATTCGACGAGTTGGTTATTTGGTTGAAATCTTGCTGGCTTGTATGCCCACTTAATTCATGTACATGTCCAAGTGGGTTGAAATCTTATGTATGCAAACATTCAATTGATTTGGGTATGCTTCTCAACAAATACGAAATTAATGATAAAACTCGCTTACAGGTTTTGGGTAAACAACGTGGCAAAGGCAGGTCGAAAAAAGTTCGAACTGCTCTGTTATCATAAAAAATTTTTTTCATAATAATCATATTTACATAACATGCATTTATTACCTTTTTGTGTTCTTCATGTTGTTCTGTGTGATGACATTATTTATTTTCTTATTTCACATATAAACAAATTTGGTGCTCATTTCACTCTTTATTTGGTGCTCTTTTCACATATAATCAATTTTGGTGCTCATTTCACTCTTTATTTGGTGCTCTTTTCACAAATACTTAATTTGGTGCTCATTTCACTCCATTTTTGGTGCTCAAAACACTCCCCACCCAATAAGAATAGTAATGAAGAACATAAGTAATAGACAAAGAAACAATCGAGTAGATAATTTTTCATGATATATAGCATCTGGACTAATCGGTTTCGATTCGTAAAGATTAAGTGTTTGAACATCTCAATTGCCATTTAGATACTCATTTTTCTAAGTTACTAAAACCGAAAAGATCGATAATGCATAAAAGGTTATAATGAAATCATAGTAAATAGAAGAGAAATATGCGGAATTGTTTTTGTAGAATATTTACTATACTCAAGCAACAAATTCAATGTTCAATCAATTACAACTTGGAACTAAAAATGGGTTCATGGTTCAATATCTATTCTTTACTGCAGTTCCATAAAAGCTATTAGGATTTATTGCTGAATTCATAAATTCAGATGAATTTTATTGGATACAGAAGTTTTCATGATGACTTAGTATGAAATGCAATGCAAGAGTAACAGAAAAATAAAGGTTCGTCTCAAACATTTTTCAGCTAAAGTTTTGATATAAAAAAAGTCGACGGTTTCTAAAGAAATATTCTGATAATTTCAGCATCTCGCAGTATTCTTGTCTATTATAATTCTTCATTTTTGCCTATGCTGAAAACAACAAGCAAATCTTTAATGATAATTTTTCTAACATAGGGTGTGGATGTCGGTGGCTGTAGTTGTGAATACTCTCTTATATAAACTTCTGCTAGTCGAAGTAACGGAATTTAACTTCATGTTTCTCATAAACTCTTTTCGCTATTCATCTGTGAGCGTGAGACCGTGGTAAATAGTTTGATAAGTGCCTCTCGATTTGTGAACCAAATACTGATCTAGCAGGAAGGCGAACGGTCCCAGTGTCATCATCTGCTCACAAGTGATCTTATTCGGTTCTCGCATCGCTCGATTCAGCTCCTTGTACTAGAAACACTCCTTCGAGTACAGATAGACACAAGTCTCGCTGATTACATTGGGAATAGCTACATGATCACCATCCGCTTCTTCGTTGTCTCCATGGTACTTGACTGTCAACAGTTGCTCAGCCAGCCATTTCACCTCCTTGGCCTTGCCGAGGGCGGTACCTTCCACAAGAATTCCTTTTGAAGCTGCTTGAACCACAAAGCCAAGAGTCCTGTGCTTGTTCTTCAGCTCCACTATCCAGTATGTATAGCGAAAATCTCCGTCAATAACAGAGAGTGTGTCTTCAGTTGATGTGAAAGTCGAAGTAGAGGCAACAGCGGCAGGCAATGAGAATCTGTCTTCTCGGATGTGCACGTTGCTCGTGTCAGTGTGGAGTTGGACTCTCTCGATCGGACACTGTTTCTGTGTGCCGTCCTTCCTGTACTGCACTCGGTCTTTCAAGTTGATGATGTAGCTGTCGTCGATCTCTACCTGAAGTTTCTTGGCGTTGAGTGCATCCTCGATGATCTCGTTTGCGACGTCCGTGAACTTACTCCATTCTTCTGCGTTAGAAGACCACGGGTCAGCAGCAGAGTTCCAGTACCCCTGGAAGTTACGTAGGCGAAGGAGAACAGGAGCACGAGGAGGAAAAAAAGAAGAAGAGGCAGTGTTCATTATATGATCGGTACTTTCGTTCACTCTTGATTTTCACTTTGTAAAAAAACTGGCACAAATGAATTTTTTTATTTTCTACTTTCCTTCTGTTCGTGGTTGTTGCTGTTCTGTTCCTATTTTTCAAAGAAAAATAAAAGCAATAGCAAATGTAAATGGTATTTATTGTACGCGTGTGCCTTTACTTGAATGTGCAAATAAGATGTTTACTTTCTTCTTTTGTTTTTCCTTTCTATTCGGTTCTTTCTCTTGAGAAACAGGAAAACGACAACAGAACAGCATACTCTCATTAAAAATGTTTTTCTCACTCTTTCTTCGCATTGAAAATGGAACAGATAGTGACACAATCAGATTGCTTACGGTGAACAAGAAGAATGACAGTTATGTTTCATGAATAAGCTTTTATTTTAAAGTTAGACTATACCTCTTTTTCGACGATTCTGGTTCATCCACTTATCAGGGTCGTAGAGATCTAGAATTTTTATCATATACTCGTCGTCTCTATGCCTCTGGTCGTTTTTGGAATTTTTCGATTTCGATGAGTTTGCGAGAGTTATACAGAAGACTCCGTTTTCACTTGAGTACATTACGACCTATCCGAATTTTTATCTGATTGGGCTGAAAATTTTACCATATGTTCTTGAATGAAAGTAAATCGACAAATATGTAACATAAAATGAAAAAATAAAAGGGTGTTGGGGGCGGAGGTTATTTTACTGCATTCAAACACACACCTACACCCCACAAAACAAATTTTTTTTGATTTTTTACGCGATTCTACTCGCTAATATCCTGCGGAAAAAAGTACGCATCATTTTCCTAAAAAGGGTCGGGTGTAGGCGTGGGTGTGTGTTTGAATGCAGTAAAATAACCCCCATACCCACATCTCACAATTGAAATAGCATTTGTTATAAATTGTCTCAAATCAAAATAGAATTTTTTCTATTACTACAATAACATGGGATATATCAGTGAAATAAGATTAATAATTGCGTTTTTTGATTCAACATAATGCTGAAATTCATTGTTCGATGGACACTTACCCAGAGAAAACAAGGTTCGTTGTTCATTTTTTTATTACAATATGTCAAAGAAATAAACGCATGAGGTATTTATTGACATTAAAAGAGTCATTTTCAGAACAAATTAGTCTCTCATCTATCTGAAAATTTGTTGACGAGATTCAATTGAATTGACCACTATGATGTTATATTATTCTTCGACAAGTATACGCAACAAAATAAGTTATCAAGAAAGTGTGTTAAGCTGAAAGATCGTAATAACAATATCACATGCTTGCATTCAACATAAAATTCTCTTTCTTTTCTTTACCTTTTGTCGTTCGAATGCAAAACATAATAGAGAACGAGTCTTGTTTTGTTTTCATTATTTACAATAGGAGAGAATTCTTTTTCATGGCGTCTTCAACGTCGACAAAAGCGCCATGTGTCACGTGCAATAATAAAGGTGTGGATATTTTCAAATGTGAAGGATGTTCAGAAATATTTTGTGGAAATCATGCTAATGAACATCGAGACATGCTTAGTGATCAATTAGATATAATTGTTCTTGAACATGATGTTCTAGAACAAACAATTACTGATCACAGCAATCACGCGAAGAATCATCATTTTCTTCTTACGCAAATCAACAAATGGGAACAAGATCCGATTATAAAAATTCAACAAGCAGTAGAAAAAACACGACAACAGATCAAAAAATTGATTTGTTCACATACAGGTAAATAGAATTGAAATGATGAATTTATTTGTCAAAAATAATAATGCGTATGTTAAGGAAAAGTATTGAAAGAGTTGTATGATCTTTCTGAACAATTACGAAAAGCTCATATTGATAATGACCATGTTGAAAATGATCTTTGTGCATGGACAACTATGTTAGAAAAAATAAACTTGATCTAAATACTATTTCTTCCTTGATTAATATTTATGAAGATCCAACAAAAATCCTTGTCACTTAAAGATGTATCTCTGAAACAAAGTCACATATAAAACAGAATGACAACTTTGGAGAATCAATTGGTAATGTTCGTATTGAAGAGAATGGTTGTATGGCTATACATATCGATCCAAGGAGAAGTGATGCATTTGTACGTGAAATATGTGAATATTCATCGGGTAAACATAAAATTCGATTGTTTGTAAAGAAAAAAACAACCACATACTATTGCTTTGGTTATAATATCGAAAGCCAAATCAATCTCACAGAATGAAACTGACATGAAGATATCAACATATGGTTGGCGCACTGATGACGAAACAATCCATCTTCACGCTGATTCATCAACTAATAAAGACTGTCTGGATATGAGATGTCAAACTATGTTTGAAATTGAACTTTTACTTGATTGTGACAATGAAAAAATCATCTATGTCAATCAACAAACGAAAAATACGCGAGAAATAAAAGTTGATATTACAAGATGTTCATTCTCTGGCAATTATTATTTTATCTACATGCTGTTGAAGATTATTTTCAACTGATATCTACAAGTCAATAAATATAAATATCTATGTTATAATTTATAATTAATAGTAGAAAATATATTCAATCGAGAATATATAAATTAATAGTAGTATGTCACAGTTAAAACTGAAATAATTAAGATCCAAATCAGGCAAACAACAAAAGATGGAGTGACGGATGTAGCAAGCATTTCTATGTTATTTGTGTTCATCTTTAAGAAATACAAGAAAGAATTCAGATAAGTTGTTGAAAGATTCCTGCGATTGTATCATATGGTGACCAATGAAGGGAAACATAACAAATAGTTATAGACTTTTCAATCTAATACTTATCACCACTAAATATTATTAATATTGAATAAATAAGTGTATAAATATGAAATCTCCAAGAAAATAACCGCTATTTTGTTCTTTGGCAAATCTACTATGCTGACTTGCTTATTTTGGTCGATAAATATTTCGTAACGAAAGATAAAATAACCTTGTATTATTCACTAGAGAGCAAATATATGCAGCGTGGCGCAGAAGTAGCGCGTACAGCTCATAATTCAAAGGTCAGTGGATCAAAATTACTCACTGGTATGTTTCATGTTTGCAATTTCTTCTTGAAATTGCACAATCATCTACAAGTAATAAACACAACGAGCAACAGAGAAATATGCTCGTTCTTTTGTTTCATATATACTATGCGAAAGTATGATAAAAAACGAACTCGAGTCTACTGAATTTATTATAAATGAAAAATGATATAATTAGAAATAGAATTGTTTTTTTTCTTCAATAACCAATTGCAAAAATTAGAAATAGCTATATGCAAGACATGAGTCGGTATTCATTAAAAAAATTATGAAACTAAATTATAATTACACTAATTTATTATTAAAAATATTAACATGTGTTTACCTGAAGAAAGACATGAAAATATCAAATGATGAAGAGATTAGAATCAGACAGCAGTAATGAAAAATAATCTTCAATCAGACATGAAATGCAACATATGTTCTTTTCGACTAACATTAAGAAAAAGATGATAGAAATGATACAAATAAATAATTGAATCTGAAAGTATTTGAACAAAATTATTCAGTTCATAAAGGGTGTGAGTGTGGGTCTCAATGCCAGTGCAAACAAGATTCACACCCACACGATGCTGCAAAAATATTTCATTTAATCAAAGACACAGTGAACATGCAGGGTATGGGTGTGGGTCATAAGAAGATCGACGCTAACACCCACATCTCAAGCTCACACCCCGCACACCCACACCCACACACTCAATCGAATTAAGACAAAAAAGTATCTTAGGTACTTGTTTATAACTTGGAGAAAGCGATTGAAAAACCAAAACAAAATTGTAGGAAGCAAAGTCTGTTGATTGAATCACAGAATGCTTTATAAAAGCCTTCTGTTCTACAATGTTAAATAACACCGAATACAGTTTGTAGAGGATAAATTCTATAACTTCTGCTGCTTTTCTTCGACATAAAATATCATAGAACCCAAACTAGTTCGTAATTTAACAGTTGAACAACTCTTCGTGCCATTCTCTACAATACGGAGAAGATGCCGAAGATTCCGGCATCGCGACTATCCTCCTTAATCTAACTGGTGGTGGGAGCAACACGACAGGTTCCTCGAGTCAGCACACATATGCTATGTATGTCCGTCGTGCATATGGGTTTTTACTGTTCGTGTATGAGTGGTTATGAGACTGAAGCAGCCGTGATCAAGGACGCGGGTATCCTTTTATTCACTAAAAATCATTCTCAAAAACAAACATAGTCAATTTGTTTCGATGAAGAATTGTTTTACTTGATGGTTTGCCCAATCGGCGACATAGAGATTACCATATCGATCGAATGACAAACCCGTAGGACAATTCAATAGATATGCGTGTTGTTCTTGATCTTTTCCGCCCACAATCACATCTCCCTGTGTGGCTCCTTTGCACCAACGCATCACTCGATGATTGCTACAATCTGCAACATAGACGGTGCCTAAGGAATCGACGAGCACCCCTGCAGGACAGGACAATTCCGTGAGATCATTTCCTTGGCCTCGACCACCAGCAACGACAATTCCTTCTTTCGCATTCTTCATCCACTTCATCACACGATGATTGTTGTTGTCCGACACATAGACCGAGTGATCTCGATCGACAAAGATATCGTGAGGATGAGAGAGTTGATCGAGACGTTTATCTTGTTCATTGCTGCCCGCCACTACTGTTCCATTCGTCTCGCCTAATCGATATCGCCTTACTTGATGATTTTGATAATCAGAGACATAGAGAAATCGCTGGTCATCCATTGCCAGGCCAAAACAAGAGATATCCTCGATTATCACTGCTCCACTAGTGCCACTTTGACGAGGCCATCGCATCACTCGTCGGTTGTATCGATCACAGATGATAAGACTATTTGTCTCTTTGTCAACAATTATATCTGATGGACAATACAACTGATCATTCCGATTTCCTGGTCCGTTTCCACCGGCTATTACTTGACCATTCGTTGCACCACACTTCCATTCCACAATTCGATGATTATAATGATCAGCAATTAAAATACTTTGATCATCATCCACATAGAGACCGCAAGGGTGGTGAAGTTGATTGAGTGCATTGCCTTTTCCGTGACCACCAGCGATAATGATGCCGTTTTGTGTCCATCTGGCGTTGGGAGAAATGTTTGGGAGAGCTACAATGAAACAGAAGTAGATCTTATCGTAGTAGACTATTCTTGATCAGAAGATTTTGGTGATCTCCTTGGGCGATCACAAACAAAATGTCACATGTTCTGTTATCGTGAAAACAACGACGAGTCACTTTGATGTCCTTCCAATGATGCCTCTTGCCTTCATATCTCCTATTTTAGCGATATCAAAACGTCAGATTTCTTTTTGGTTATAAGTAAAACATTTACAGATCCACTTGTACGGTTGTCGTCGCTTCTGAGTGTTTTTGGATAAGAAGAACATGAGCTTATCTTAATCGACCGATCTGAACGAAACTTGTGTGACAGTATTTCTATGATTCTCGAAACTTTCTCAATACTTCAGCCACTGTTGGTTCTGTCTGGACGAGACTAAAGTGATTTTTTTTTACTTTCTGAAAAAAGATTGGTTTTTGAAGATTAAGGCCACTTTTCATCGTTACTTTGTATTACTTTGTAGGTTTTTTTGTCCAGAAACACACACATTTAGTGATAAACATTCAGTGCAATTTATTTTCTGCGACTTACCGTATTCTGATGCGCGCATCTTTTTCGAGGGACTGGTAATTGTTTTCTATCCTCTATTTCAAAATTTTTCAAAAAATTGTAGTTTTAGTGCGCTTCATAAGTGTAGCACTCGAAAAGTTGGATCTATCGAACAGACGAGTTTCGAAGTTTGAAAACATTATATTCAAGTTTGCTTCTCTCTCTGGATTTTCGATGAAATGTTGGCCGTCTGTATTTCATGAACTACAGACATTAAATTTGCATTCGTGATCTTTGCGGGGATGCCATTTAAGTAAATTATACAGGAAGAATTCGATATATTCGATGTAGCTAAAAATATTCTCAAATAAAATTTGTGAACAAAACTCAAAACATATTTTGCCGTGGGGCACCATCAGGGCCGTTGAGGTTTGCAGAGTAGGTGCGAAAAAGAAAATACTGTTTATTCAGACATCAAGTCAACACAAAAAGCTAATTGATGAGCGCACCGAAAGGATGTGGTACACGAACCTGCGGAACGAGAACAAAAATTTAAAACTTGAAAAGTCATTTTTTCAGCTGAGTCTAGTTTTCGACTTGTACACTACTGTTAAGAAAACGATTCAAATCCCTGTCGAGAGAAAAAGATAAACAATGTCTTGACCGACTATCACATGGAACATACCTGTGTTCTTATCTGATTTTCCAGTTTCGTTCATTTTGAATTTTCGCTTCGTTTGTCCTTATACCAGTAACACCTTTTGTTTTATTCACTGTGACTTCAATTGTATCGACTCTAGTACCTGAAAAACACAACCGATATCAATATACTAGATTTTAACATAGTTGGATCGAATTGATTTCTTTTTTTCTAGTTCAACAAAAGCATATTCAGTTTGTCAAACTGTAGAAATTGCATTGGAGATCATTGACTAGCTGACGTGTACCTATGTTCATAAGTATCTGTTATTTGTCTCTCGACTTACAAATCAGGCTTTTTGAACATCTCAAACTGACAGTAATGGCTGTTGAAACTAGTGGTGGAAAATCTGAATTGACCTTAGTGTTCGCTTGTGGCTCCAACGAAATCTTCGGCGGTCAATAACTCCTTCACTTTTGATACTCTTTGGACTATAAGCGAATATGAACTCAGAAATGATTACTATGTCTCGCTCATATCTGCTGAATAACGCTTTGTACTTCGGGAACCTTCAAACGAATGTTTCTCATTGTCTC